ATATTTAGAGAAAAAGCCAGAACAATTAGATATAAATGTCTGGGTGGAGTGGTTACTCAAGATAGTGGCTTTTTAATTGCTGGCTGTTATCCAGGTGGGGTTAGCTCTTAAACTTCCTTTGGTTCAATTAATCTAATTGTAGCAAGTGCTTTATTCTGCCCACTACAATGTGTGACTCCCTAATTATTTTCCACAGTCCACAATGTTTTTCCCAAAAGAGAGGTGCAAAGTATTTATTATTATTACCAAAAAGCAAGTAGATTTTTATTCGTCAGAGTTTTAACATTTTCTAATATAACACTGAAGACTGAAACAGTAAAGACGAATCAGAACAATGTTTGCAGTGCACACGCTCATGCTTGGGCCTTTTCTGTGTGTTGCAGTATGTGAACTGGAAGGAGAAGCCTTCTCAAACTCCACACATGTCTATAGGTCTAGGTAGAACTGGGATGGAAAGGTTTTAAAATTGGCACAGTGAAAAAGATCACTACTAATTATTATCTGGAAAAACTATTTGTGCAGGGTTCAAAGCAATCTGATTATCTTTGATAACGTCTTAGAGAACTTGGATATATTGTCTCAGATACTGACTTGTCACTAACTCACATGAGAATTTCCTGAAGCTTTAGGTGATTGTTCTTCAAAATATAGCAGTCATTGAGTGGCTTTCTTGTATAAACAAGTGCACAGTAATTTCTTAAGTTAATTATAGCTACCTGTATGGGTGGTTATTTAAAATGACGGAACTCATCAGAACTGTTCTTAGTGGTAGGATTTTAATACATGCTTGCAGGATCAACCTTCAGCCTTCCTATGGTTCTGCTCTTATAAATACAGGAAGTTTTCCAGAGTTCTCTGGTGAGGTTAGAGCCTGGGAGAAACCAAGTCCCTTTTATTCCAGTTTTTAACTGAAAACTTGCATTTAAGCAGAACTCAAATGTTTAGAAGAGTTTCATGAATAAATAGGAGCTTAATGAGAGTAAACAAATTTGGGAATAGGTCTACTAAGAACATTATTTCATCAGTACTTCAGTGGGAAGAGTGACATTTGAGTTTTCCCTGGCCTGTAATCCTGTTGATTACCAGCCTGCACAGCAACAAAATATGTTTTGTTGCTGTGCAATCTTAAGAGATAAAGCTAAAGACAGAGTAGCTGTAAAAGTGGGTGGGGTGGAATGGGAAGTATAGAGGGAGGTCGTGTCAAAAGTAAGTTAATTGAAGGTATGGGTTCCACTAGGTGTGCACGGTATTTTCTCTAAAGTTAACCGAATTGTATCAGTGTTGCTTCTGTAGGTCTGCTCTCTGTCAGTACAGAGACTGGAATCCCCGTGGTGCTCTCAGTCCTCTGACTCGCACAAGTCATGCGAGGAGGCTGGGGCTGTCATCTTGCTCTCCTCTCCCTTCTGGCACAGCTCACTTAACAAGATTCCCTAGATCCAGTCCAGCCGAGATGGAATGGAGAAGACAAAGATTTCTTTGTAAATAAATCCCCCTGAGGAAATGCTGTTTTCATGCTTATCTTGTTGATGGTTGATTGATTGATTTTTGTTTGATCAATGGCTTTTAAAACCTAATGTAGTTTTTGTGTGTGTGTTCTTTTTAGATTGGCGCATATGATCAACAAATATGGGAAAAATCAGTAGAGCAAAGAGAAATAAAGGTAATAGTATTTCAGCCTTTGTTTTTGGCTAGTTAGCAGCAGCGCTGTCTGATTGTGTAGACTGGTGCAGTTTACATGGTATTTAATACTGGTAAAGTAAAACTAGACTTCTGGAGGGTAACCAACCAACATAACTGGCATACTATGCTCTGTTTATTCTACATAATTAATAAGTCTGCAGCATTTAGAGTGCTGCATCTTTCTGTATTTTTTTCTGTATGTCTTTTTCTGTACATTTTTCTTTTCAGTTATCTTAAGCCAGGGCTTAGTTGTTTTAGTGCCTTTGTCTTTCACTTTTCCTTGTGATGAATTCTAACGTCAGTTATCTGAGCTCTCTTTACTTCCAGTTAGTTACCTTATACCTGCAGTTTACTTTTCCTCTTTATGACGCTGTCATTGTTTTGTACAGTTTATTAGACTGGTAAGTACCTCAGGCTTTGTTTCTCTGAACAAGCAGGTTAACAGTGTTCTTTGCATTTTGGTTTAACTAACAGTGCCATCAGTGTCTGCCACATTGCTAAACTTTTGGAGAAAAAGAAATCAGTCCTAAATGTGATAGTTCTATGGATTGTATATTATGTCATACTCCATGATGTTTAAGTTAATTCAAGTAACATTTTCTTGCAATTAACCTTTATTTCTGCAAATAGTGCACAGAAGAAGTATGCTAGTACTGCATGAGTTTCAAGGCATTGAATTAGAATTAGAATCACAGAACGGTTTGGGTTGGAAGGGACCTTAAAGATCATCCAGTTCCAACCCCCTGCCACAGGCAGAGACACTTTCCACTAGAGCAGGTTGCTCCAAGCCCCTGTGTCCAACCTGGCCTTGAACACTGCCAGGGATGGGGCAGCCACAGCTTCTCTGGGCACCCTGTGCCAGCACCTCAGCACCCTCACAGGGAAGAATTTTTTCACTAGAGTGGACTAGAGGGGGAGAATCACCTCCCTCGACCTGCTGGACGCTTAGGACAGAAGTTCTTGTAACTACTGTATAATAGGGCATTATTCAAATAATGTGTTGTAAATAATGCCTTGTGCTTCTTCAGAATGCATTTTGTTGGCTTGGGAGCCCAGTAACTAACAAATTAATGACTGTGTCTATAGGAGTTTGTGTTGACTGAGTTTATTATAACAATGGTAACACTCAGACTACTAAGTTCAAGTATTGCACATTAGTGCTTTGATCTCAAAGCTACTGTTTATAAATGAACCTTACTAAAAATCTAAAGCTTTATTAATTTTTAGCAGGAAAGCTGTTTCTGAGACTATAAATTTACAGTTTAGTTAGAAGTATAACAGTGTATCAAGATTCATTTTAAAATATGTGCAAAAGAATTTTTACAATATTAGCAACTATTTTTTAGCATTTTTATTTAAACTTTATTTTTACTATTAGTTAGCTGAAATGTGTTTGATGCTGAATAGAAATCGTATGAATTAGCTGGATGGGCCTAAACGATATGAAACACTATGAATATTTGTGTTGATTAAGTTTGAAACATCTCTGTTTTGCATATATATTACAGATATTTGTGATGCATTAAGAGAGTAGAGAAATTGCACCTGAATAGATGGAATTCTTTCACCGTCTGTAGTCCATGGACACTGATGAAAGCATTTGAGATTTGACCAATGGAATTTTTAAAGAATGTGCCTCCACTTCTTTTCCTGTGAAAGATGCTTCAAGTTATACAGTTGACTACCTTTTTTGCGGAATTCTTTTTTCAAAATGAAAACATAACTTTAGCCACAGTGGTACAATTTTCCTAGGATTGTGCATGTGTTTCCAGGCAGTTATTTCTTCTAAGAGGCACAGGCATCTTTATTTCGACATTAAAGAAAAATCTTGTGGCCCATAAGCAGTTACACATTTGAAAGTTACTACATCATCCAGCATTTTATTTTTAAGATTTTAGATCTTTTTTATGAAATGGTGTGGCGCACACAAGATTTTGCAAGAATCTGTAGATGGTTCTAGAATTATAGTTATTTCCAATTCTAATTATGGGCTTGTTTTCTCATTCCACATAAAATTACTGTGGTTTTAAGACTACTGTTCTGTGAAAATCTTGTACGTCAAGCTCTTTGCAGTGCTTAACTCTACATGCAACTGGTTTTCTCTATTTGTCCTCCTCAGAGCACATTTTATCCTATCGGTTTCAGTTCTATGTGCTAATTTTGTTTTGTTTCAAGCAAACTCTTACTTCAGGTGGTGACTGTGTATCTAGTTCATTGTGAACTGTTTGGGGTTTTTTCCTCCCAATTATTATTTCAGCATGAAAAATAAATCCAGTTGAATTTGGATGTGAGAAATATTTTGAGCTGCGCTCTATCTGAATCATTTACTTGATATAGTTCATATGAAGATTAGCATTTCCGGATTCACTGATATTTCTCTCATCCATAATAATTTAATTTTTATGCTTTCATCTGAATTTAATGTTTGCATTCAAGTAATAAATGTTTTTATACATGGATGAAATAAGACAATGATCGAAATTACAGTTCACCTGTGAATTCAACTGCTTTTTGAATGAAAACAGTTAAACCACTTCCATTTTGATTCCATTTGTATGCAAAATATTTTTTGAGATACTACATTTTGCTCTGCATAAATTGTATTCTGTGGAATCATTATTGGCTAATGTGACCAAGAGCCTAATCTGAAGGGATTGGAATAAACTAGTGGCTATCTCTGAAGCTTGAGGGTACAGTATCACATTTTGGCATTAAAAACAAATGTTAAAAGTTTTGCAAGATAGTTTGGCTCTTCAGTGAAGGAAGATGCTGTTTCTAGAAGACAAAATAAGCTGCTTTTTCTTCCTCCTGTTTTCTTGTTGTGTGGTGGGTTTTTTTTTCTTCTCTTTTTAACAGGTTAATCTATATTCACTAGTAAGAAAAAAATCAATACTTTTCTAGAATATAGATTCCTGACAGTGGAACTTGCTGATTAGTGGCTCTTGCATTACAACATGATTTTCTGTTTAGGTTGGAAAGAAAGTATTGCAATGTAAGCATTTTGTGAAGTTTAATTAGACATCTAAAGAGAAAAGAGATTCAGAAAAGTAATTTGTTGTTAAAGTTCTGAAAACCTAATAGAAGCATATTACTAATTCTTGCAAGTGTATGCATATGTTGTCTGTGTAATCCCAAACCATGAGACATGAATGCTTAGTGCTTAACTGTGTTTGAGAAATTACCTGATGGGTCAGTAATTGGTTGGGTTTTGTTCAGATTGAGAAGTGTGCAAAAGGCATTTATTGTGCCTTGTTCCTTAGAATGTTTATTTTATTGTACTTTAAATCAATGAAGTTGACATATTTGTCTGAATTTTTAACAGCAGTATAGGTTAAATACAATTACTGACCACACAGATACCTTTTCTTGATGTCTGTCATCTGCAGGAATGTATTTTGATAGTATTTGCCTATTGCAGGGTTTGAGAAACAAACCAAAGAAAACAGGACATGTGAAACCAGACCTCATAGATGTTGATCTTGTAAGAGGTAGGTCCTGAGCTAGAAAAAGCTGGTTTTCTGAGTGTAAAAATAGCTGCCATCCTGTGTCTTATAACAAGACCATATTAGTAAGCTTTTTCAAAACAAACCTATAAACTCAAACAACCCCTCACCCCAAACCCATCAAAAACCCCCACAACAAACCCTACGTAATTCCTCTTGACGAAGGTGGATATGAAATATTGTTAAAAGGTGACCTTTAGATTAAACTGAAGACTTAAAAACTTGTTGTAAATTTTGTTGTATAGATTTAGAAAAAAGGAACACATGGATTGTCGTGGAAAAAGGTTTTGGAGTTATTAGTTCAGAAATCTCCTACTGCCAAGCATTCAGATTTCTTCCACGTCTCGTGGCATCTAGCTATTCGGCTGTGGTGAAATTTCTGGAGAGAAAAAAAGCCTGGATTTTTTTTGGATATTTCATGTCTGTTTTAAATAGCAAAACGGCAACAGAAGGTCAGACAGCCTGAAACTTTTCAAAAAGCCTTTAGTCTTCATTTATTTTTATCTTTATAGAATTTCCCTTATGCCTCATGAAGGCTGAGGAAAACATGATTAGCATTATTTTCCATGAGCCCAGCAGCCAGCACAGTCTCCTGAATCTATTCCACGTTGTGCTCTTTGAATTCAGTCTCAAATTAACCTAAGCACGCTGCTTTGCTCTTGCCCTTAGAGATACACAGGCACCCTCACACCCAGAGCTCACCTTTAGAGACCTGCTTCTGCCCTTGCTCTCAGGCTGCTTCACCCCTTCACCAGTGAGTCTGACTTGACCTTCACTTAGCACTGCCACGCTCGCTCAGGTTGCTGGCACCACACACAAACAGCCCCATGGCTCCTGTTCTGATGTCTGACTCTGGTGCTGGCACTCAGCCCTCTGTGTGTGTGCTTGCACGTGTACAGAACAGACTGCCCCTGCCCCTGGAGAGAGTTAAAGGAATTTAATAAGAAGATAGTACAGGCTGAGCTGATCAGGCACATGGCTCAGCCAGACAAGCAGCATCCTAAGCAGCAGCTATTTATGCATGGCCTTACTCATGGCCTTACTTTTTATCTGCTTACTTATCAATTTCCCCCTGCTTGTTCCTCCCTAAATCACCTAAGCGCCTCCTTTCTCCCATCCTTGGTTCTTCCCTGAACATCCCATAATTTCTGTGCAATCTGAGCTCCTTTTTCCCTGTATCCCATAATCATAGAATCACAAAATGCACAAAATGGTTTGGGTTGAAAGGGACCTTAAAGATCATCCAGTTCCACCCCCCTGCCACAGGAAGAGACACCTTCCACTAAAACAGGCTTCTTAAAACCCCGTCCAACCTGGCCTTGAACACTGCCAGGGATGGGGCAGCCACAGCTTCTCTGGGCAACTGCAACCTATGCCAGTATCTCAACAGCCTCATAGTAAAGGATTTCTTCCTAATATCTATCATAAAATCTACCCTCTTTCCGTTTAAAACCACCCCCCTTGTCACTATATGCTGTTTTAAAAAGTCAGTCTCCAGCTTTCTGGTCAGCCCTTTAGGTACTGGGAGCTGCTCTAAAGTTTTCCCTGAGCCTTCTCTTCTCCAGGCTGAACAAGCCCAGCTCTCTCAGCCTCTTCATAAGAGAGATGCTTCAGCCCTCTGATTATCACTGTGGCCCTCCTCTGGACTTGCTCCAACAGGTCTACATCCTTGCGTTGGGGACCCCAAAGCTGAATGTGGAAGGCAGCCCCACAATGAGTCTTAAAATGAATCCCACACTCATTTTAAAGAAAGCAGCAACTTTCTTTCCTTTGAAAGGTGATCTGGATTGCTGCTCTCAATGACTCATGTTTATGGACAACAGAGCTGATGGCTTTGCTAGGACAGCCCTCGGAGGGGCCTTGTCAAGGTGCTCCTCCTATGATTTGGATTTCTCTCTGCCCTTGTGCCTCTGTCCTGCTCTGGTCTTGGGCAGATGGGCCTTCAATGATGGGCTGGTGACTCCATTGATGGGTCTAGAAGAATCCCAGCAGGGTATTATTTGGGCCTCTCCAACAGCCATTGTCTCTTTGAGGTCCTCTGCAGGTGTGCAGACCAGCTTTTATCACATCACCTGACAATATGGCTTTAAAAATGGGATTGTGAGAGAAAGAAAGAAAATCAAGTAACATTTGAACTTTAAAGAAACAGAACCAAAACCTAAATGTTTGTAGGAATTCAGGAACAGCCGTACAGCACTTCAATATAGTGATATACATGAATAGCATTTAAATGACTGCTCTGCGTGGATGTCTAAGTTGGTATTAAAGTAGTTCCAGTACAGGCAGTGTTTCATCTGTGCCAGCACAGAGCTCACTAATGCCAGTTCTACTTGTAAACAGGGTGGAGATGGCATAGCAGCATGCACGAGTTGCCCTTTCCAAGCAGTAACCTTGACATAATTTAAGTCACACTCCCATTAGGTAAATGTTATGCAGTTTTCTAGCTGCCAGAGAAGTGGGAATATTCAGGAAGAAAAAGGAATAGAGGGATATAAGAGAGAAAGGACATTTGAATGAGTGAAATGGAAAATGGTGTTGGAGGAGAGGCTTCCCTGCTGCTGGGACTGTTTCCTCAGCTGGACAGATATTCTTCTGTACTTCTCAACCATATTCCATTCCCCTGAATGAAATGGCTGGAGCAATTTACAGATGTTGATGTTTTAGATCTCCTTGCTGTGCCAGCAAAGGGCTCTGCTGTGCCTGCACAGGCATGTGGAATTTGCATATGACTTCCTTTTGCTTCATAAAGTTTCTGATACCTCAGTGAAGCACTGGTTTTTAATAATTTATTTTAAAATAATTTTTACCTAGTAAGAAATGGCAATGTTTTATCATTCACACATTCCAAAATCTAGGCAATTATAGAAGTTCCCGATAATGGCAGTCAAGAGGACACCAATAATTTACACAAATTTTTGATTGAGGAGATGGTGAAATGGTGGAAATGTGATATTTATTAAAATGATAATGTTTAATAAGTGCTCCTTTAAATAACTCTCTTAACTACTCCCGAACTGAACAACTGAAGTTATTATTAGCCATAACAATTAAATGTATCAAATTTCTTTTCTTTTTTTTAAAGGATCTGCTTTTGCTAAAGCAAAACCTGAAAGCCCTTGGACATCTCTGACCCGCAAAGGAATCGTGAGAGTTGTTTTCTTTCCGTTCTTCTACAGGTGGTGGCTACAAGTAACATCAAGGGTCATCTTTTTCTGGCTGCTTGTTCTTTACCTTCTTCAAGGTAGAGTTGGATTACAGGATCAGCTTCAACTGAGTGCCTTATTTTAACCATATGGAAGCTGCTGTATGTTACTTGGTTCACTTTAGGCTGTTAAGGATCATTGCAGTATTTTCAGAAAATACTGGAATGGCACAGTCCCAAAGATGTGTCTTTTGGTTAACATTCCCTTTACATATATAAAGGTGGCATACTGAAAACTTAAGGATTTCCTCACAGGCTTTCTAAAGCACTTAGCACACGCTTAGGTTTCCAGGACTATTTAATTTAAGTTCAGGACTGATCAATATCAAGGAGCCTTTGGCTTAGGCAGCGTATTTTGTCTTGGGCTTTGGGTCTTTTTGGTACTTGTGCAGATCAAGAAGCAAGCAAGGCCAAACCTGCCAAGGTGCATGCAGCTTCAGCAGCCTGGTGGGGTGATCTGTTTGACCAGTTTTTAGTCATCTTTCCAGGTGTTACTTTGTCACATCAGAGGCAGTGAACTTCTAGCTTACACTTCTGTCAGACCTTAGACATGCTTCTGAATGACTGGTAAATGAGGGGTTTATTGTGCTACCCGCATCTGCTGATTTTTTTTCCATTACCATGGGGAGACAATGCATCTTAATTTGATATTTCCTAGATTATAGAAGGAATTCTGAGCAACTGTTGACAAACAGAAAGCAATTCACAGATTTCAGGATGCTCAATTTTGAGTTCTTGTAATCTGACTTTGTGCTTCTTTTACTTACATGCAATATATGAGGAAAATTAGAAAGGGAAGAATGTAACGTAATGAACAAGTAACAGTGTGGAAGTCACAAGAATAATGAGTATATCAGAAGCATGGATCAGAACAAATGGAACAGAAAACTGGGAGCAATTTAAGTACCCTGAGAAGCTAAATGACTTGAAAGTTTTCCTCTGAAATCCAATTAAAATACAATATTACTTTTTCAATTTTACCATCTGTCCTTGCAGTTGTGAATCACTGTATAATTCGGAAATTGCATTTAAAATAAGAAATGGAGTTAAAAAAAAGAGATGCCAGTGCCTCTTGTATGGTGATGTTAGCAGCTATAAAATGAATTTCCCAGTTCCAGTGCCCCTAAACTTGAAATATTGACAATTATTCCTGTGGTCTCCTATCAAAACTTCTTATCCCTGCTTCCAGACAGCTGTTTAGGAAGTATTGTTCCACATATTAGCATTTGTGTATACTGTGGTAAGTGATCCCATAGTATTAATAATTTTAATCTCATTTGTAGTAATATAGGTAGTAAAATATGTAAGTTATAGTTCCTTTGCTACCATGTTTGTAGGTGTTACCATGTTTATTTTGAGAAACACCATTATAGTCATTTTTTATATTCATGTTATTATATTTATTTTAAAAATATACCCACACTTAATCTGTGGAGCCTCCATAAGACTCCAAAAGCAGCACAATAGTAACTCAGTGCAGATTCTGAGTGCAAGCAACTTTTTTAGGACATTAATTACAGGGCTGTTTTGTGATTAACTTTTTTTCCTTCAGGTTTCTTGGGATGTGTGATTTACTAAAATTACGGTCAGGATGCATCATTTCCCTAATCCATATGGTCTGTAATGTGACAAAATGTTTCTGATACTTCTGAGGCTGCAAATTAACAAACATTGGAAAAGTATTAATAATATTCTGTATGACTCTATAATCCAGCTATTTGAAAAACTTATTTAAATTTTTCTGAATTAACTGCAGAGGATTTGGGGGTTTTTGAAATTTAAGACTTATAATGTATATGTAAGTGAATTAAATGGACAATTTTTTAAGTTGGAAGCTATTTAAAACAAACCCCTCAAGCCTCTCCTTCTAGCGCTTCTGCGTAAGTTTTACTTAGATTGTACTCAGAAGCTGTGCTCAGTTGTTCATTTTGTACCAAATGGGTAAGGTAGCACCAAAATGTCAAGAATCTATTAAGAGACCTTAACAACAAAACACTTCAAATTCCAGTGGTTGTATTTTTGAGCTCTGAATCTGAATTTAGTCTTGTAGCTCAGCCTTTGTCATCATGACCGATTCTCCCTGGCACTGTTGTAAAATGGTCTGACTTTATTTGTTTATATATGTTTAATTAAGTGTTTTCTATTTATGAACTGCATTACTTGGAATTATTGCTTTGAAATCAGTTAGCTTTAGCACGATACCTGCTAGCATTTATGTAAGTCTGCAGGAAAGAACTCTTTCCTTGGCTGTGGATTTAAATTCCAGGTTTTATTTACGTTGGTTTCCTTTAGTATAAAGTGTGATTAGCAGAATGTGTAATAAGAGAACTACAGAGAAATGGGTTTTTATCCAAGGTCATGGAACAGGCCGATGAATTAAGGTAGAAGTAAAACCTTTTTCTTCTGACTCCTTATCTGTTTAGTATATAGCACTGCTGATTTTGACTTTAAAAATGTTTCTATATTCTAACAAGAAAATGAAGTGTGACATTATACTGTGTATCTCAATTGTGTGTTTCTTAAGTATGAAACAAGAAACTTTAATAGTGATAGAATAATTGTGTATTGTGGTGAGATACATATGTATGTATGCATTTTTAAATGTGGTAATACAAATATTTCAAAGCTTTAAATGCTATAATAATAAATGCTTGTTGGTTTTTGGAATGTACAGTTGCTTCCTTTGACACAGATTATTGCTCTTTGTGATATAATATACTTTGTGTTTGTTTCACAAAATGAACCACTGTAGTTTAGAAAAGTACAAGTCCAAATCCTATAAATAAGTAAAGAAATCATTAAAAGTGGTATGATAAATTCTGTTTGGAAGCCTAGCTGTGTTGGTAGGAGCAATTCTAGGATATTCTGAACCACAGTGTATTGACACACTGTGCAGGAAGAAGTTCTTGGGTTTCCTTCCTGTCCTACTGAAAACATCAGGAGATCTGTAATGTTTTCTTAAATCTGTGTGAAACTTCATGGTGGGAATCTTCAATCTGCAGATTTGTATCTTATGGAAGATGATGATTTCTTCCATGTCACTCTGCTTTGCTAAATGTGTTTTACGTAATGAAAGTCATCTTGTAGTGAAGTTCAAAATCATATTGTGGAGGCCCACTCCTGCAAATCGTTTCACATGGATCTTTGGAGCTCTGTGTTCTCAGAAATACACGTTTATCCAAATTGTATGGTAGGAGTCAAAATTGGCTACTTATTTACACTTTATTCCTCATGAAGCTAATTGTATGTATGCGAAACTTGGATAAATTCATTTAGGAAGGGGTGATATTATCTGTAATTGCCTCCTACTATCTGTACCTTTGTTTATTTTTTAAAAGCTGGATTTCTGATTGATGCAAACTGTCTTTCTGAGAAACATCATCATAAAAAACTTAGTCCATATGTAGTAATAAAAGATGCTTTATGTGTTCTATGTAAGACTTCTAAGTTAGGAAAAAGACTGATGGGAAATTAGAAATGGATTACCACAACCAAAAATAATTCCATTGTGTTTCTAATACTGGTTGCCTTGCTAAAGTTTATTTCATGAAAACAACATCTAATCTCTTCGCATCACAGGTACCTGCTGTGTTAGGTGTGGCTTCATGTGATACATTTTAGGTGTTTGAATGTGGCATATAAATTTGCATGTGGCTGTATATTTTTTCAGTTAATTTCAGTAAAGAACTGGTGAAAACCATTGAACTTGTACCAGGTATTTCTTGTGCTAGGAACAGGTTTAAGTTATGGGACTCTCACTTCTTAGTGGTCTAAGAACAAAACCAAGTTCTCATGGGACACGTAGATATTAGGCACAGAGAATTATTCCCCTGTTTCTGAATTGTCTCTCGGAGATTTTGTATTATTTTTTTCTTGATATCTTCTCTCAGCTGAATTACAGAACATGGCATTTCAAGCCATAGAGGCACAGCAACAGGAACATACAATAAGCAGAGAAAAGGGAGGGATCACCTCTTCTGTCTGCTCCATGTCTGTTGAGTGTGCTTAGATCAACTTGAAGCCTGTAAAGACATTTCTGAGTTGCAGAAGTTACAGAAGTGGTTGGGCTCTGGCTGCAGGAGCAAGAAGAGTTACCTGGGTGTTGACTATATATAAAAAGTTATAGGTTACAAAAATAACAGTTAACTGTGGAGTTGGAAGCTGCCGCTTTTCCAATTGCAAGTGCTACTTAGTCTTGGTCATTTCAGCTGGACCACCTCATAGTTTACATGGTTTGTCTCTGATCTTGCCTCATTGCTAGAAAATATGCACACAGGTATGTATGAAATGTAAATAGGGTTGCGCTTACGCATGTCTGTCTATCCATATGGGTAATTTTGTCCTTGGACTGGAATACGGAGTTTAAAATGCATTCTGCTAGTGAATATAAAGTTTCTAGACTCAAGTCTGTTAATCCTTCTGGTATCAAAATAGATATATTGTTCACAGAATTAGAGGCTAGTTGAGGTTGGCATAGACCTCTGGAGATAGCCTGAACCCTGCTCAAGGCATGGTCAGCTAGAACAGGTTGGTTGGGGCTGTGTCCAGTCAGGGTTTGAATATCTCCAGGGATGGAGAGGCTTTGACCTGTCTGGCCAACCTGCTTTTGTTTTGGTGAGTTGTACACTGCTTCATTATAGGTGATAGAGAAATAAATTTAATTGGGCTGCTTTAAGGATAACATTTGCTTTTTGGTTTTGTCTCCGACTGAAGCTTCACCTTCATTTAAAGTTTCATGATGTGTCTAGCTTTCCAAATGTTCCCCTACCTTACTTCATTCTGCCACCTGTTTCTTGAGCTTTTACATAAGTGTAAAAGAAGAGATGGGTATTAAGTCAGTAGGCAACTATTTAAATCTTTATTACTGGCTATTTCATTGCAATTATCATCCCTTCCTCTCAGAATTACATGGGTTGCTTTAAAATGCAGGTAAAGGACTAGATCTGAGTGTTTGTCTTTTTAACAAAAGCCATGTAACAAGTTGGCCATTTCAGACATTGCAAATATTGAACTCAACTTCATTTCCCTTCTTTTCCAGTTGCTGCTGTAGTGTTATTCTATACAGCCCAAAGCCCACATAATATACCTCTGACTGAAGTAATTGGGCCAATATGGCTAATGTTGCTACTTGGAACTGTGCATTGTCAGATTGTTTCAACACGAACTCCTAAGCCACCCCCCAGCACAGGGGGTAAAAGAAGAAGGTATAGTCTATGTTATAGTACTTATTTAGGATTGTTAAACTATTCTAAAGAACGTGCATGAAAAAATGTAGGGGTTTACAGTCTCTGCTTTGCAAGAGATGAGAAATTGGTACTCTCTTTGTCTGAGTTCTTAATTGGTGCTCTTTAACTTTTATGCATTGACTAATTTATGCATTGTTTTATTTGAATTTTAATGCATTGAATCTGACATTTTGCCTCAAACAGTTTGTATCTGAATAGTGGTAGAGTGACAGTATTTACATTGCTGCAAGTTTAGTTTTATAACTCCGTGCGCTACTGACTCATGATCTTTGTGGGAAACGTACATTAGAGGAGATGCTACTGGAACTGTAGAATTTAAGTCTTCCTGCAATTCACTGAGTATGGTTGCTGCAGTGAATTGTCCCATTAAAATGGGAAGACCTGCAGTAGTGAACTTTGCACGTCTAAGCCTCTGATGGTGAGATGAAATGTATTTTGGGTTTAAGTGTTATGATAATGAGTGTTGAGGTTAGTTTTATTAAATGGAGTTTATTAAATTGATGTGATAAAGCTTTAGTAAAGTATTTTGAAATCTTGCTTGTTTTTGCATGCTTAAACTGCTGAACACGTTACAGAATGAGTAGATTGCACTTATAAAGCTACCTTCAATTTTGATCTCTTCTGATGAAGGAAATTAAGGAAAGCAGCACATTTGGAAGTACATAGGGAAGGAGATGGCTCTAGTACCACAGATAACACACAGGAGGGAACAGTGCAGAGCTACGGTACAAGCACTTCTTGCAGTATTGGCGCTGTCTTCAGAGATATCTGGCATGCTGCTTTCTTTTTATCAGGGTTTGTATTTATTCAAGGCTACATATGTGTTAGAGATGCATTATCCCTTTTCTAAATAAGTAAACATTGATGTAATGATTAAACGTTTGTTGATCTAGTTTTTGTTCTCTAATAGTAAACTCATCTCAGTATTTGAACATGTACTAATGTGTTGTTTCTTGACTCTTGTAAATGCTCATGCAATTATATGTTGATGTAGGAGTACTCTGTGGGCTATTGGGAATGAACCGACTCGGTTTCTCAATTTTAATCAAATAAGAAAATTTAACTCTATAAGTTTTCTTTATTACATTAGCGGCTTATTACTCTGACAGAATGCTTATTGAATTGTATGACTGTCATCAAATAACATGCTTTTTGTGAAGGAAAAGCCTTCAGGATTCAAATAGGCACAGTGCTTAGTTTATAAATAAACACTGAAGATGCATTTTCTAATGATTGGAAGAAGCAACTAACCCTGTTACGTGCCAGAGCTGTTTTGCAAGTGATCGATCTGATAATGTAGTGCTCCAGGCAATTAAAAGTTAAAAACACATTCTATAGCAGTCTGTGCTCAAGATACACACAGCATTGTGAGTGCTATAGATCAGTATTTATTAGCAGGAGAAAATATGCTCATAAAAATAGTAGGGAATTGAGAAAAGGGATACTGCAAGTTACTACATTGATGTTTTGTTGTGCATGCTGCATCTTAAGTATGGCAACAGTAACGTGTCTGTCATACTTGTGATATGTGCCCTTAACTACTGGTAAAGCTTACTTCATGTGGTGTTACATTCTGGGAATATGTAGTTGAAACCCTGGAGAAGTTTTTGAAATGTTTACAAATACTGCAAGAGGAGAGTTCCTTTGCCTTTTTCTGTGTAAGATGAAGCTGGCTTTGACAAACTATGAGTCACAGTGATAGACACCACTGCTGTTCTTTGGGCTGTGTGCATTACTTTCTGCTGTGCTTGGAGTGTAATCTTGTACACTTTTGAGTGTTTTCCGCTCATGGAAGATGCTGATGTGCAGTAAGAAGAGGAGTGTTGGGAGACTCATTTGTTTTTCCTTTACCTTCCCTGGTATTGAGCTCAGAGTGTTTTCAGTTCAGGAGGGTTCAGTGGGACTTGCTCTAAGGACTTGTTTAAACCATTTAATGAGAAGTAGTGTGTGTATGTATACATATATATAATATATATACATATATATATTACTTGGTGATGTTACTGAAAAAATCTTGTGAAACCTCACTGCAAGGAAGCTCTTTAGTGTTACCTCTCCTGATTCTTAAGACTTATTTTGAAGCTTTTTAGATGAGGACTTTAGAATGTATCATTAGTGTTTATTTACAGCAGTTTTCCACATATATTAAGCTTTGAGATACCGTTTTGTGGAATTTTAAATATAGGTCTTAAACGCATGGTTTCAAAATTAACCTCAAATTGTGTTCTTTGCTTTAGGGCAGGACACTCTGTACTCAGACCATTTGTCTACACTCAGGTCATTGGTAATCTGGAACTGTGTATTCAATAAATAACCTTTCGAATGGCAAAACTCAGTCTGACTAATAAGATATCATTCTAAACTTCAATTCAGCACAGGGCCAAATTAGAAAATACTAATTATTAATTTCACTGGAATGGATGTCAATATTCAAATAGATAATTTATTCAGAATGTAGCAGTGATTTGGGACAAATGTGTCCTTACTCCAGTTATGGAAATCTTACAATTGAAACTTCTTTAAAAGTTTTGCAGGGAGGAGGTTTGGGGTGTTTTTTTGACCAACTCCGATTAAAATACAGAGGAACAGAATACTTGACAGTCTTGAAGAAACAAGATTTATGTAGAATCATATAATGGTTAGGGTTGGAAAGTACATCTTCCTTAATATTTGTTCTTAAGTAATGCATGATTAAGACTGAAAGCTTTCCTCGAGTTAACTTTTGCATATGTTCAAGCTTTTTAAGACCTTGGTTATATTCATGGTGTTGTCCTGTCTTACTCTTAAATACTTTGAATTCTAGCATGAAATTTTAAAAGTTGATTAATGATGTGTATGTATATAGTAATTCTAGGAAACTATGCATTTTTATCAGGGAAGTATTGTTCATGTTTGCTATTGGGCTTTTTTTATCAGTATAGTGCACCCTGGTGATAAGTGGAAATGTATGCTTTTCTGGCTTGACACTTAAATTTAGGGATTCTTACAAAGAATAACTTTGGTTCCCACGTTAGAGACTAATTAAAGACTTTGGTCAAATTACCTGTTTTTCAAAATGAGCCTTCGTTGCTATCTGGCTCATCTTTGTCTTGCAATTTTAGCAACATTGCTTGGGTAGTGAAGTCCTATCTGAACAAATTATGTCTACGTTCTTTTTTTCTCTTATTTGCTCCTACTCAACTGTTTGAAGCTACTTCTTCCTAGTAGCTTTCGAATTTAATGTGAAATGCAGAGAAACTTCTCAAGTGAACTGTGGTATAGTTGTCCTGTTACTCTATTTACACAGCTAAGTAACTTGTGGAGTAATGAGTGGATGTGTACATCTACGTATGTGATGAGAACTGCATTGCCTTTTGCACTGTTAAGAAGAATTTTTTAAAAGTGCCAGAAGTATATTTAATGCAGTAAAAATTGTCCTCTCTGGGTTCCACCTTATTGCAGATAATTTCATATTATTGCTACTTCCTAGTGCTCACAACTGAGCTTACTGAAACATACTACTTCACAATGAGTTGCCCCTGAAATGCCGATACGTGCTTTGTTCCAGAAGTGGAACAGCAATTTTTTCCATTAAGTAATAAGCTAAGCTTTCTCTTCCTTCAGTTGTTTTATCTTCATTAACTTAGTTAAACAATGACATTATGAAAGGCCACAGAAATAAAGCTCTAACATGTTTACTATTGATAGTTTGACATTTTTGTCCAAAGCCTCAGTAACATTTTAGATCATCTACTTAATGAACCTAGAAAATGAAAACTCTGTATGTGAGTTTTGGTAATATGCAAACAGGAGATATAGTAGCTGTTTCTCCACCACAAAATGCATGCTAAAGCATCTTGCTGTCTCTCTACTTTTGTAAGCTTATAATAAAAATTAATCTATGCAAATATATAATAACTACAGAAAGTGTTTCTGCTGTTTTTGTACTCATTTAGAAATAAAGTTGGCTAAGAATTTAGGGAATGGATTTTTCCATTTTATCCAGTTCTCCCTAGCCACTTTCTGTGTTCAGGTCTTCCCTGTATATGTGGGATACCTTATCTTGGGAGGAATGTGAGGCGACTATCCCAGTTCTCTTGATTTGTTTGATGTACATGTTAAAGAGGAATTTAATCTTCTGCTGTGTAATCCAAGCTCTCACAGAATGCCTCACTCCTTAAAGAGAAATGCAATGCGTATTCCCTCGTAGAAGCACAAGATCAATTGAATAGATTCTTGATGGGTTTATGTCCAGTGTTCTACTTCTAATAAAAATTAAAAAAATCTGGAAACTTGATTTGAAACACTTTGCCCCCCCTCCAAGTGTTCTTAACAACCAAAATCTAATAAAACAAGATACTAATTGCTTAAATGAAGAACTGAAGTAGTCTCTATTGATAAGGTAGCAAGCTACTATTCCTTTGCATTCCTTCATTGACTGCCATTTCCTAATTTGGAAGTATAATCTTTCAAATACTTACTTTGAGAAAGCCTCTTCCTGGAATTAGACATTCTTGCTGCTACATTTGTTGGCTAGATCTTGACATCTAGAGAATGTTATAGAAGACTATTCATCACTACTTAGTAGTCTTAGGAATAATAATACTGAAGCATAATTCATAACCTTATTTTGTGACTTGAAAACAGGCTCAGTTAGTGTGTTTGTAAGATACATTGAAACACGTTGCCAAGGGTGTTACTGGATAATACGGGAAAGATTAAATTAAACACCTTCTGTTTAGTAGAGTTATCAATAAGGTGAGTGTGTTTAGAACAGTTACAACAAAACCCATCTGTGTACAGAATACTAACAGCATGTTTGTTTGCATCTTCAGGAAATGGCATACTTGCTTTGAATTAATAACACTTAAACTTTTAGCATACCTCTTTTTTTGTTGTTGTTTAGATAGAATAGAAAAGTTTCTCATTTACGATTGAGGCTTGTGGTTCTAATATTGCCAAAGTGGCTGTGAAGTTTCAGTTCTAATACATAGGTTTCCTTCTTTCTTTCAGTAGCTAATGATACAATTTTCTTTCAGACACTGACAATTCCTTTTGTAACACTTTTGGGAAAGTATAATATGTATTATATAGAAGATGAAATAGTTATAAATATTGCATCAAATGTTAGTATTGTTAGTTTGTGGTCATCTTAGTTAAACTAAAATGGCTTGAGGGGGATAAGCAGGATTTAGACTGGAAAAAAACCCGAGAGAATCATTAATATATATATATGTGTTTGTTTCAAATATAGATCTAAGAAAACAAAGATCTCAATAGATAAATCCACGGAGACTGATAATGGGTACGTGTCCCTTGATGGGAAAAAGACAGGTAAAAGCAGTGAAGAATGTATGCAGGCTCATGAGCGTCGATGCGAGGTGATTAAACCAGAAGAGTCGGGGTGGAGCACTGCCACAGTGAGAGAAGCCTTCAGCAATCATAGTCATCACAAAGTAAGTGTGCTTCCTTGCTTCCAAAGTAGGGTTATTAATTTGTCAAATGGTGTGTGAGATGTATTTTTACAATGCTTTTGATTCATTCTTATCTACTTTACCCTTAAAAAGGTTTTTAAAATTAAATCAGATGTAGGACCCTGGGGCCAAAAGTCTTTTTATTTCATCCTTAGATTCCTAGCCTTTCCTTTTTCTTGTAGGAGGATCAAAACATTCTTTATCATTCTGTATTTCAGTGCACAAATTTGTGTGCTTTTATATGTGTTTTTTTACCAGACCAGCTGAACACACTGTACCCTTGCCTGTCTCTTTGATACTTTGGGCACAGGTCTGTCTATGCTAAAATGGAACAAATTTTGGGTTACTGACAGTTTACAATTTTGAGGTCATTTTTGAATTGGTCTGTGTAGAAGATGAAGAAAGCTTGAGTTCTCAGTGAAGTAGGCAGGGCTCTATACTGAGGAATAGGGATGGGATGGAAGCATAGTAAGTGGTCATGAAAGAAAACAGAACTTTCAGGTTGTCTGGGTCTTAATATCTCCTGCATATCCTATTTTCATCTTACTGTTCTATGGAATAGCTTTTCCAAAACATGTTTTCTGTCTCTCTCTGGTTCTTGGCATTTGAACATGTATTGACAGTGTTACACTTGACTCTGCCTCATTGGTAATTGCCATCTATGATCAATCATAACAAAGAGTTTTTCTGTGATCATATCGAAGGGAAAGTTTATTCTACTGGAAGTATCCAAGTAGACATTTTTATCAAGGAAAGGCATTCTTTATGGATTTCATAGCCAAATTATATAACAACCCCTTAAAAATCCCTATGATTAAGTCAGAATGAGGGTGATGAAGGTTCATCTTGGGGTAAAAAGTTCACTCTGTTGCTCTGCAGGAGGTGCTTTCTCAGCAGTGATAGCAACTGAGGTTCAGTTGTCTTTATAAGTTCCAAGCATTTTGCATTCTTGAAATTCGATAAATCAAGGATATAAAAAAGTAGAAAGAAATAAGTTGAATAAAATAAGAAGTAATCTTTAAAGAGTTTTCAGTTACTTTGGTAGAATGGATGAAATATTGTCTGTGTTTAACTTGCTTGGTGAGTATGCATCCACATTAAAGAGAAGCTGGCACAGGCTAAATAGACTCCTCTCTTTACTCTTTCTCATCTCTTTCTCCAAAGACAATCAATACATGTTGGTGCCACTGCATGAGAGCAGATAAGACACCACAGATTGTTCTGTGTCTCTCTTTCTCTATGCAACTTAGCTGTTAAAAGAGTGAAATGACTTGACCTTGAAGCATCTTGGAAAACAGATCACGGAAAAGAGAATGATGTTGCCAGGAAAGGGAAAGGATTTGTTGTGGAGAATAGCTTCAGTATTTTTGTCCTTTTAGCATTTCATTGATGACAGGAAGACTCCAAAGGAAGCTTTACAGGGTCCTATCTGGTGATCTCATAATAAATGGGCATATACAAAAATGTTTTAGACAGCTGAATGACCCTTTGCTGCCTGGTTTTCTTTCTGTAAGGGCTACTTTAACTTTAATTTAAAATCAGAGGAATAGAAAGTGGAATAAATTAATGATCTGAGTATTCTGCATGCAATATGTAGAACTTTTTCTTTGGAAGAAGAGGTAAATGTTAACTTTGTACTCTATGTGTTGATAATTCAGTGTTACAGGGTCTGCTACCGCAGTTTTGGTGGGATTTTTTTGTTTGCCTCACCACCAATTTTTGGGCTATATTGCCTCTAAGCCTTTTATGGTAGGTTCGGTTTAGACAAAATCACATTAAAATAAAAATGTTAGAATTTTTCTTTACTACGATATGAACTAGCCCTTCATCATCTGAGAAGTGCTTATTTTGATGTTAAAATTTCTATTTTAGAATTCCTGC